TCATTACCTTTCTGAGCTTTTCCTTGACATCCCTGTAGAACAAGAATAAATAAACACACAGGTTGGGATGAGATACATCTTTACCTTGACTGGCCTTTACTAGTGAATTCTCTCTCACTCTCTGTGGCCATATTTTCTCCTTCTGGTTGTGATTCCAACCATTTACACACAGTGGAACCGAACAGTTTGTGTCCTACCTGGGCTGATTTCTAAGATGTGAGATCACACTGGTTTCTGTGCCATCTGGGTAACTATAATAACCCTGCCTGAGAGGAACAGGAGCCACAGCAGTCTACAGTCCCAGGATCTCCATACTGCAAAGCAGACCTTTGGAGCTGAAGAATCAACTCTCTCATTGATGGTACCAGAAGGTGTTTTTCCAATGGATGGATGAGCCACTAGAGAGGGTTGGAACATCTGTTTCCAGCTCATTAAACATGATCCCAGCTCTTAATTTGCTATTCAATCTACGGCTGGCATTGTCGTGTCTCATTTCACCCAGGTTTCACTAAACCATCTCCCTGAAGGATCTATATGGCAGACAGTGGGGGCATTATTTTCAGCGTAGTGCTTGGATTCTGCATCTGTAAACCTTTTGAAGCCCAAGTTTGAGAAATGAGTAGTTGATGATGCAGCTCAACTATGCAAGAAGATGGGAAGGCAAAGGTCCTGCCATTGGCTAAGAGGTCCATGAACCACACGTGGCTGAAGGCTGAGCTGGGACATGCTTATGTTGCCTTTTCAAATCTTTGTTTTATAGTAGCTTCTCAATTCTTCACAAAACAAAGTTCCCGCTGTGCTAGGTTTAGCTCAGGAACATAAACTCCGTATTTGTGCATGAGCCAAAGGCTGTTCTTTGGTTGCAAGGCCGAATGTCAGAACCCAGCTTGCATCAAGAATCACTTTCCCCTGAAAACAGAGTGTTTGCATTCAAACTGCCCTCCTCTGTCTCCTGACCTGAGCCAGCCGCTGTCTGGGGCAGTGAGGGCATGAACCAGGTGAATCAGTGCCAGGTGCCATGCTAAAAAAAAAATCATCATTTCTTACGTTATCCTTAAAAACACGTCTTGTTTGGCTTACTAGTTTGCTAGCTAACGAGGGGCAGTTCCTGCCTGAAAGAACTTATGATGAAGTTGATGAAGAGTGGGAGGAAGGAAGCTGTGTTATCACTGTGTGCAGCTGGGCTTGGGACAGGTAAATGCCACACGAATTGTCAGAGCATTGATATCAGACTTGCAAACTGCAACACTGTCAACTGTGCAGGTGAAAATCATGAAAATTAGAGAAGCTCTCCATATTGTCATCTGATTCCACTTCCCTTGGTATCTCAGAGCATCTGGGATCACATTTAAATCCATTTCTTCTCAACCACAAAAGGCAGCAGCCTGCCTATTTTTAGTGAAGCTGTCATAATCACAGGATTCAGGGAGCTGAGGCTTGCTCAAAGAAAACACTGAAAGAAGTCAGAGAATCTAAATTTGCCTCCTGATTGAACAACTCTGCTATGGTACAATGGATCACAAACTTTCCCACTCTGTCCCCTTAACGTTGCAATTTCTGCCTCCCCTTTTCCAGATTTCTACTCTGTTTTCTACAATACCTTGGCCAGAATTCATCTGCTGAAGCCTAACCATCTAAAGTAAGTCAGATAAACTGCTCTCTAATGGTGCTTATTTCTCTCTCTTGACCTCAAGAGGATTCTTGTGTGGGTAGCTCACATCTGAAGTGAGCTGAAATGAATCCCGTCCCTGCTGCCTGCACTCATCTGGCTTGTGTGAGCTTGAATATCAGACTTGTTCAGCTCTGTAGGATTGTGCTGTTCCCAAGCAGCTGGAATCCACAGGTTGTCAGAGTCCTAGAAATTGAAAAAGTGAAATACAACCCTTAACTCAAGAAATCAAAGTTTAAGTTGTAGGAGCAGAGCATTCTCTCTTGGGTTATGGCATATGCAGATCTGGTAACACCACGGTCCCTTGTGCATGTGCAGCAAATCAGTGGATACAGCTGCTTTTTTTTTTTTTTTTTTTTTTTTTTTTTGCTGAGAAGGCAAGTTTTGCTTCAGGATTACTTATGCAAACAGCTCGCTCTCTACATGGCTATAAACACTAATTTGGAGACCCACACCAAGCCAAACAGTTGTTTATGAGATGTTTATGAGGCGGAGGCCAAGTAGGTGTTTATGAGGCAGTGGTAGTGCCAAAGCCAAATAGCACCTCTAAGCGATGACTGGCACAGTACCATCTCTTCGGGCTCAGCTGCAGAGGAGAGCTTATTGAATTCCCTGGTGCTTCTGATGAAGCACTCCTTGCAATTAGCCCAGCAGGGGGATGGATGGGGAAGAAACTGTGTTCTGGCAGTGCAGAGCAGGAGACTCAGCTAAGAAGACTGGAAAATCTGTGCTAGAAGAAAAGCTCAGGATTCAACCCCACCAAGTCTCAGTGTCCATTGTGTCCCTTCTTCATTACTCTACAAGTCTGAAAGTACAACTTCTTGACTGTCTTTACAGTTTGGACTCATGGAGGAGTTGCAGTGCTGTTTCAGACCTTTCCTTTTGGAGACCTGAGGCCTCATCCCCTTGGAGTTTAAGGCCTTGTGTGTTTCTAACATTTAATTTTAAAATATGGCATAAATTTGAACTGTTTACTTGCACAGGTATCAAATTCTTCATTGTCCTGTGGAGATTTGATGAAGTTTCTAGACACAGAAGCCACATGAGTGGGGTCCATCAGAACCTTTAAGGGAGAAAGACTTTTAATCAGTAGCTGCCTTTCATCAGAAGTCCATATTCTGGATGGACTTTTGTCTAAACTTTATTCTTCAACCCTGTACTGAATGATCTTCTCTGGTTCAAGTTGTAAACATCTTTGTTTCCAGACCAGCAGATCTGTTTCTTTTAAGCTTTCTCATAGTTATATTTCAATCATTTTTTCTGAACACTTTCCTCTCTCTAATCTGAAACTTTTCCCATTTGTCTACATTTTTCTTAGCATTGGGTCTCAGGAAATAATTTTTAGACAAGAAAGTCTCTCTCCTAGTTATTCTTCTCTCCAGCCTTTGTAGCTCCCCAGTGTCTATGAGTATCTCATAGTATCTCAGAAATGACACTAAGGGAGAATCATTTCAAGAATAGTCTCAATGCATGGAGTCTTTTCCCCTTTCTTTACAAATCCAAACACCTCACTTGCTTGGTTTTGTGTCTGAGGTCTGCACTGTGGTCTTTGGGAGGTGAGATGCAGTCTGGAAGGTCAATGGTACAATTACTGTTGCTGGGATGCAGGTCAAGAATCTAGTTGCTCAAGGGGGAACCTCATTTTACGTTTCTGTTTTAAGCTTTTGTGCCAATGTTGAGGTTCCAGTCAGAGCAGATTGCTTCTGAGAAGGCTCTGACAGGGGAGTGACTCCATCCAAACTTCCCAAAATTAAGAATAGTAGATTCTGGCACAGGAGTTGAAGGTGGTGGGTGGAATGTGACTGACAGGAAGGTTGAAGAAATGTCATTTCACAGCCTGAGGTGATGTTCTGTCATCAGAAAAAGGCTGCAGGAGGCAGAAGCTTCCCTGAGTCCTGGACAGGGATCCTGCCACAAACATGGGTCTTACTTGCTCCAGAGACAGAGCCCACATCTTCCCTCCTCTGTCCTCAATAGCACTGGCCCTGTGTGGCACACTCACCCAAACACAGCATGATCACATCGCTGCTGACCCAACATACCCTACCAAACATGTCTATGGGGTGAAGCACAGACCCTAGGTGAGTCACATCATGTAATTCTGGAAGGGGGTTTGATGTTATGGTCAGCGTATAAAAATTTTGGTAAGAATCATCGGTTTAAAAATGGGCACAGAAAAGAAGAGATACTGGCAACTGCCTTGTAATAATAGTGCAGCTCATGCAATTGCAATAAGAAACTTCCTTTATATAACAGAACATGCAGACGTCAGCAACGCAGCATCACCCCTAGCTATTTAGATGCTGGATGTTTATTTACACAGCAAAAAGCCACGTGGGAAGGTGTTTAGTCTACAGTTAGTGAAACCCCGTGGCCTTATTTAGAAGAAAGACGTTACCAAGATAAACACAGCTGGTGCTGCGGCACAAGAACACGATTGGGGGAAAAAATAAAAAGGCAAAGATGACAAGCCAGCATCTTCTCAACCCTTGGTTAGAGGCCGTTGGCCTCGGAGTCATAATTCACCTCAAAGACACAAGAACAAAACCCTAATCGTTCCCTCCCACCACGCTGAGATCTGAAAGCCTAGATATCGTGGTGGCCACCGCAGGAAATCCTCTGTCAGGTGGTGAGATGGAGCTTTTGTTGGGCAGCAGGTATGTGGAAGCCAGCCGCGGGTGTGCGCGAGGTTAGGTGTGTGTGCACTGCCTCCCTCGCTGCCCCCCGAGCTGCAGCCCATTTGCAATTACAGCCCTGGTGTGCCCTTAATAAAGCAGAGGTTGGCTCATTATTCACATAATCACCTGGAAAATGTGTTTCTCAGGCTTGTTCTTTGCTGTATCAAAGCCCCGTTTCTGTACCTCTCCCTTTGTGCCCCCCCCCTCTCCCCTGTTTGCCCCTGTGAAGGGACCAGGGATAGTTCGCACTGTAGCCCTTGCCTGTGATTAACGTGCTGACCTAGCAATTATTCACATCTGGATGGGTCTTTGTTCTACTTTGAAGTCTCTCAATGACTTGTCTTTCCCCCCACCTGTCTTCATTTTCTCCTCCGCTCCCCACATCCCACCTCCTCCCTCTCCACCTTCTCTATTACTCCTCAGAAGTGTCAGTGGGCCCAAAATGAAATACAGGAGGGCCCAGGAATTCCTCCCTAATGGGCCCAGGTGAGCTTGGAGTGGGAAAGGGAAGGCCCAGACCTTGAAGATGACCTTTCCAAAGTGCTTAAGTCAATAACAGTGTGCAACCCTGCCTCTCCCCCTCCCTAGGCCCTTGTTTATAATTGACAATGTGAAGATGGACTGGGGGCTCTTTCTTCTCTCCAAGTGTGTGAGATCTTTTAATCTCAACCAAAAAAAAAAAAAAAAGCAAAGGGCCAGGTGATGGAAGATGATGGAAGAGATAGGGTAATTGGTTAGCCACAGAGTGAGGCTGGGGAGCTGTGATTCCTTCTGTGGCAGGAGAAGAGCATCTTGAACAGCATCTCCTCTCACAAGTCTTCTTTTGTACAGCAGGAGAGGAGGAGGGGATGCCTCCCTCTTGCACATTCTTACATCCAGCTACGGAGGCACATTCACCAGCAACTGGTTAAGAAGAAAGATTAAGGGTTGTGGGGCTTGGGGGAGTGGGAAGTCCCTTTGCTTTGAGGAGATTAACTTTCGAGACGAAGTAAAACACAAGGCGATAGTCTTTCAAAATTGCCTTCCAGCCGTGACAGGCAATGGTTAGATTAATTAGATTACGAATGCTCTTTTATATTTGGCAGATGGGTTGGGACAAGGTGGGGCAGGGGGCTGGGAGACAAATACTTCATTATTTTTTTTTACTACTGCTATTCTCTAATGCAACACAGGTGCTTCTGGTGTACTGCAAAATTCCCGGTCAGCAAAAGTCTTTCCAAGGGTTTTAGTGGACTTGGGAAACTAAGGCTGGAGTCTCACTGCTGAGGAGCTCATGCTGAAAAACTATTCATGGTATCAAATGAAGGGGTGGGTTTGGGGGATGGACAGTTATCAGTAGCAATGATAGGTACAGAAATATGAAATGTCAGAGGTAGTGTGACTAATGTTAGATTCTTTTCCTTTATGTAGGTGTTAAGTGAAATAAGTAATTACTAAGTTATGTTACCCAAGAAATAACATTCAAAGGAACCAGCATCCATTTCTAGCACTGAGCATGAAGAATGTTTCACTGAAACATCGGGTTTAAATTTACATATCATTTTTACGTCCTTTTTTTTTTTTTTTTTCTCAAGACTTTCTGGAAGTAAGATGGAAAATGTGCACTTTGTTCCTAAGGGCATTGGAAATAGTAGGGACAGAAAAAAGCACTGGCTGAAGAGACATCTGGAGAAGAGCATTACAAAATGTGGTGTGAAGAGACAAATTAACAAATGTCTTACAAGGTAGTCCTGTAGTTCTTGAAACTATCCTAATGAATAGTTTTAACCATCTTGAGATGTTAAAAAATTTCACGTCAAATAAGACACCTTACTCTCCTATTATATCAAATAGATAGAACCAAATACCTCTAATGATGCTTCTTTGAACTACAGATGGGTTGATATACTTAGATTTGTTCTCCTTAATTGCCCATGAAGGAAGCCAAATACAACCTGCTGTCACTATGAAACCCTGGGCAACAGCTGAACCATCACAGATTTTTTAAAGCATTTACAACTTTTCACAAACTTGAAGATGTTCCCCTCCAAAACATGCTGATTGTTGGGCATGAGCTCTTAGTTACAAGGAGTTTTGCAGAGGAGCTCTTGAGTAGTCAAGTAATTTGTGGCACTGAATGCACACAATTGCTGCATGGCAAGTGTGCATGTAGGAAGTGTGAGAACAACTTTTGTAACAAAAGTGAAGGACATCTAATACAGTGGGGAAGGGCTTATTTTGTATTTTAAGGGACCTACAGCTGGGAGAACTTGGCAGATTGGTGTTGGAGGGTCGCGCTTACAGCTCTGTCTGTGAGAGGAGCAGACCTCCTACAATAAAATAGTTTTCTGTTTCAAGCCTCGTGGAGTTGTAGGCACCTTTTGAAGAAAGACACTGATGGAGCCACTTGTCAGTTCAGTGGGAGCCTCTCTAGAGTGCAATATCTGCACGTGTCAATCAGCTCTAGCAATTCCACCTGCCTAGGCCTTATTGGTCTCTAGTAGGATGAAAGCATCTATTGGAAATATCGCTCTGGACTGGTTGTACCAAGAGTGTGAAACTTTCCAGAAATCCATGTGCCTATGGACCATGAGGTATTTCCTCTGATATCAGACTCAGATGCATCCAAAGAGAACTGTGGCTCAGTGGTGGGCAGGCTGCGGTGGGGAGCACCAAGGCCCCATGATGCAGCAATCTCCATCTCCACCTGAAAAATCCTTGGGTGGAGCTGTACTTGAACTGCTCTGAGACGCTGCTTTTGGAAGACCCTGGCTTGCTTGAACCCTACAGTGAAGGAGAAGACTGAGGAGATACACTCTGGTCCCTGCTCTTGGCCAGGTTGTTGCTGTCACCTCTCTTGGGCCCTGGCCTCTCCCAGCCAGGCACATCACACTCTGGAGAGGACAAACACCCTGAGGGTGATGGACTGAATGACATCCTCATCTTCCAGCTCCTTTAGCTTGTCACTTTGCCTCTGCTAGGTGTGAGTATCACCAGGGATGGGCCTAGAAAGCTTTTCCTAGCAGCACAGAGAAATGTTTGTCCAGCAGAATGCCCCATCTGCCTATTTACAAGTCCTGAATGCCATTCATATTCAGTCCTGTGCTTGTCTCAGGGCCATATCCTTCACATACTGATAGTTTTATTACATTCCTCTGAACTGAGTAGTACAGAGAGCGACATAAAAATGTGAGGGAAAGGAAAACAACAGGTTAAAAATATGAATACCGAAGAATTTTGATGGGGGAACTGAACCCTATGGATGTTTATTCCTCTTACTGTGGGCTCTGGTCAGAGCAGCTGACCAATTGTGCACGTGGGTTTCTTTGGGACTCAGCTAGCACCTCCGCACCCTAAATCATCGTTCCATGGCAGACCAGCCAAATTGCCCAAACTAACCCTGAGCACGTTTGGAGGAGTGAATCAGTTGATATGACTTGATTATGACTGGGTAGATTACTCTGCCTTTTTATTATTATTAATATTTTTCTTCTTGAACTCTTTGTTTTTAATACTAAACCAGTTTGCTGGTATCCTGTGATGACACAACCCTCTCTGTTGACTTTTTCTCTTAATTATACAGGGATTACTGTAGAATTAAAGGTGCATTTATAAGGCTTTTAGAAGGAGCCTACTCCCTGTCACTGGCCCTGGAGATGAACCAATACAGTGACTTTTATCTCCTTCCCAACCAATGCAACAAGCCTCTTTTCTCTTGAGCTTCTAAACCTGCCCATAAAATAACCCCCTGACCCCCCTCCTCCCTCCCTACACTTCTTCCTCCCGGTTTTCTTCCTGTAATAGGTCTGAAAAGGTTGAAAGGTGCTGAACTCTTGTGTGGGGAATTCAACTTTAAAGCCCCTGAACTTTTGGATTCCCTGAGGGGTGCAGGAGGAAGGAGGAGGAAGGGGTGGTGTCTTGTGCTTTAGCACCATGACCTAACTGATACATCTCATGTACATGTCATGTCAAATGTCATCTCTAGGGCTGGGAGTACTCCAGATAACCTGTCTGGTCAGTAGGGGTGACTGAAAATACTTAGCTGCAAGCCATTGCTTTGAGAAAGCTTTGCCTTTTATACTTCCTTCAACATTTATTTATGGGTTGGGGATTTTTTTTTTCTCTCCTTGCAAAAAATCCATCAACTGTCTTTTCACAGACTGCAGAACTTTGATGCAAGCAAACAGCAGCTGCAAAATAGGAGAGAAGCAGTGAACTTCATTACCAGAAGTTTTGGGGGGCAGAAATGAGAAACAGTGCCCAGGAATGACAGCTGCTGGCAGCTCGGTTACTTTTGCTTGGCTGGGGCTCATCAAGGAGGAAGACACTTGGCTGGGACCCCACACTGGAGCTTCAATCCTGCTTCATCCGAAGCCACACAGTGGTACCAACCACATGGCCATCCGCGCCTCTTGCCCCCAGCCTTCCTCTTCTCCCCTCTTCCCTCTGCTGTTCAGCCTCTTACCACCTTCCCAGAGGTAACTCCTGTTGATTTTCCAAAGGAAAGTGTTTAAAGGTGCCCTTGCTGCATCTTCCCTGGGGAGTGAGTGCTACCTGCTCAAGGACTCTCCGATCTTCTGGGGAAGCACCCAAAGAACAAGCAGCAGGGGATGAAAAACAGATTAATTCAGAGTAGAAGTAAGGCAGAGTTGCCCCAGGAGGGTGTTTCAGACCACCTGCTTCTCTCTAGCACCTCAGGAAAGCCTTGTCAGCTTGGATAAATGTCCAATTTTTAAACAGGTGAGGTTTGGGATGTCCTTAAACAGAGAGGTAAAAGATGCTGCTGTGAAGCCCAAGGGCATAGCCTGATGGAGGGGTCCTTTGGCCTGTGTTGTGTTGGAAAGCAAAATAAATGCACATATCAGCTCTTTGGCCCCTTTCTGAACTTCATTTTCCTTTCTGTCAACCATCGCTGCCTGGTGATTCCTCCTCTACACCTATCACTGACAAAATAAATCAGTGCAAAGCAAGAATTATTTACTGAAAATCTTCCTACTGCCTTAGTTTCCTATTTACACATTATGTGCCTCTTGCTTGTATTGTTTTTATTTATTTATTTATTTATTTATTTATTTTTCCTACTGGTAATACCTTTAGGCCAAGTATCTTCACCTAGATCTATGTTCTGATGTATAACTCCTATTTAAGGCACCTAATTCCCACCTGCCCTTTGAGGGTCTGGAAACATTTATGTGCCGGGTTGGTTTGTGCTCAGCATGGCCTGATCTTGTACAGACAGGTCAGGAATACTGAAACAGAAATAAATTTATAGATGGGTATTACAGTCTTAGCACTGAATTTGCACCTTTCCATAGGAAAATGCAGGTCTCCATCCCAGCAAAACTTTGCTGTGTCCTAACAGGCTGGTGGAATCAGGTGGGTTATTACTAGCAGGTTGGCTAATGTATATATATATTTTTATATCAGTGGTGGAACTCTGATAGACCTGGGATATATCAGGCATATGAAACTCAGCTTGTGAGCTTAACCCTGCCAGAGCAAGGAGGTGGCCAACAGGGTTTTATCCTGCACCACTTTTCCCGAGAACAAGCAAGTTCTTACAAATCAGCCATCTGATCACTACTTCTACACGGCAGGGATTTCCAAGGCAAGACTTTCCCTTACTCAGTGCTGCCTTTTGCCCTTTTGCCAGCAGGATACGATTCATACTTGAGGTTTCAAGCAGGAACAAGAGGCTAGATTAAGCCTTCACAGCAACCCGGATTAAAAATTTTGTTTTGTTTTGTTTTGTTTTAAAGCGTACATCTACATTGCAAGGGAATTCCCTCATCTTTTGATAAATGCTTTGAACTCCCAGCTGTTCTTAGGGAGAGAAGGAACATCAAAGACATGTCTGCAAAGGCTGTTTATGTACCTGAGAGGAGCAGAGCTCCATTATTCTCCCAGGGTGCATCATACGGCTGTGAGCCAAGTGCACCCAAGCACCTTCAGCCACTACAACATGAATTTTCATATTAAGAAGGTGGTGTTGTTTCTGGGATTGCACAGAGCTACAGAGCAGGTCTTCAACCCCAGTCTCTGCTGGACATCTGAATAACAACCTCAGTAAACTGTTTTCCTGAGCATGCCCTGCTCATTGAGAGGTCTACGTGTACTAATTGGGGTGGGTTTTGGTGAGTGACCAGCATGCAGAAGTCATGGCCTTTGTTAGAGAAGACCACAAGAGAAAGACAGCAACCACCTTTCCTGTTTCCTGTGATGGACTGGCCTTTTTATCAGACTTATGGAAGATGTGAAGCATTTTTCCTAGTATCGCTGAACGTGAAGGTCCCACAGCTCTGCCCCTGTTATCTCTGAGCTGCATGCAGGACCTCTGCTAGATCCTTCCACAGACACTTGAGTGTATAAACATTAATATTTTGAAATGCCACACAGCAACCTGAAATTGCTGAGAAAGACAAGCAAAGGATGGCTCTGAGGTTAAGGCAATACCTACAGGTGAAAATAACTCTATTTTCTGCCACAGATTTCTTGGATGGCCTTGGGCAGGTCACTTAAACTCAACTATTGATTTTAAACATTGGAGCTTGTTGGTTTTCTTGTCTCAGAGAGGTTGAATGGGGATAAGCAGGTGAGGCCAGAGGGTTTAGACAGGGAGGACATGGGGCTGTGAGGAGGCTTGGGCTGACGAGGAGACATCTCACTGCTGGATGAAGGCAGTGTTCCCCCTGCAGGGAGCTGGCCGCAGTTCCGGAGGCTTTGGTCCTGTGTTATTTTGGGGGAAGGAGAAATTATTTCAGCAGCTAGGGAAGCCGGAGTGTATGATTTATCATGGGGAAAATCCACAGCTTCTCCTGCTGTTGCTTAAATAATTGCTAAGGCTGTCGTGGCACAAGGTAGGAATGAGTTAGAAAACAGCATCTATTTCTTTTGAAATCAGAGCTTCAGCAAATGCTTCCAGCATGTTGTGACTGGAGAGATGAGCTGCCCTTTCTCATTTTTGGTTCCTTTCATTTTCTCCTTTTTACTTTTCTTCATTTCGTGACAAGAAAGTGTTGCTTGCAGACAATTGAGAGAAATCAAACTAGGGGATATGAAAGTTAAGGGATCTGATTTTGCACGTGAATTACTTCACAATTCCTGGGCTGAAGTGACTGGGGAAAAGTGGACAAGCATGTGGGGCTTATTGGGAAAGGAAAGGTATTCAGGGATCTGGAGCAGGTCTGTGGAGAGATGCTAATACTGGGTTGAGACCCTCTGCTCAAAGAGCTGTTGCAGAGCCACCTTGGTGTATCCTGACTCTTTCTTTTGCCCAGCCTCAGGGAGGGGGGTGCTGGGTGGAGCAGGGTTAATGCACAGCATGGAAATGGGGGCTTGAGGAAGGCTTGGGGTGTGTTGAATTATTTTGCCCCTTTTCATAGGAAATGGGAGATGGAATGGTTAAAAATGAGGAGAAAGAGCAACAGCCTTTGTATAAATGCCGGAAAAGGCTCAAAGAAAGAAAGAAAGAAAGAAAGAAAGAAACAAACCAGGTTAAATATTCTGACTTGGGAAGGGGTTGAGGACAGGGAAAAAGAGGAAGGATGCAAGAGGTAGGGGATCCAGCCACCTGGCAGGACTTCCCAAAGCCCCGGTGACCTCTGAGATGTGTATCCACACCTGTGCTGTGCTGAGGGGTGCTGACACCCCCAGACTGCAGCTCATGGCTGGGCAGCTGCACCCAGCCACCACTTAACAGTAAAGAAAACAAGTTTTTATTCTCCCTGCCAGAATGTCTGAGTTGGGCAGTCTCCATCAGAGCAATTTTTCAGGAGCAGATGCACAAGGTGCAGTTCCTTATACCTTCCCCAATAAGGTTCAACCTAAATTTGGAGTGAAGGAGAAGGAGAAAGGGGTGGGAAAAGGGTGTCTGAGTTACTTGGAATGCCTGGGTCTTCACATAAAGCATATGAAGAGCCCATGTGGATCCAGGAGGTTGGATCCCAGATGGTGGATCTGACCTCCTGGGCTTTGTGCAAGGATACATTTGTAAATTTGGTGTCTTTAAATGATACATGGGGTATTTCCTTTGTTTAGCAAAACTCCACCCCCAAAATAAGGTAAAGAACACCAACAAGGACTCTGGCTTTGAGAAAAACAACAGCAACGTTTGTAATCAGCTAAATGAGTGGAAAGAAAAAGCCTCTGAACTGGTGGATATAAAGTTGGTTAGTTTTTCCAAATCATTTTAATCCTTTATTATTTTAAAAAATATTTGCTTAAAACACTGAAATATATATATATTATAACGAAAATGACATTGAATCTCGTTAAAGATAATAATATATAACTGACTCTTTGGAAATGTTAGAATGAAACATTCCCATTTTCCTCTGATCAGGCACAGGTATTTTTTTTCCCTACAAAACCAAATGAAACAGGACCAGAAACCCCAGCTATACTGACCCAACCCTGCGATGCATTTCAGGAGCAGGCATATGGGGTGAAAAAGGATGTTGGTGAAAATAAATTAATTTTGCTGGGCTCTTGCTTTCACTGCAGGAATTGCTGCTTGTCTGTGGGAAAGCAAGAGAAATTTTGCTACAAAACTTTTGTGTTTGGGTTTGTTTTATTTTGGGGACAGATATTTGGGACAGCTGGCTGCTGTGCTCGGACATCCCCAGCCCCTGCCCGGCATCCAGCGATGCTGGCCAACATCAAAGGCCGAATTATTCGCCCCGGAGTGTGACATTTGGGAGGAACAGCCCCAGCTTGGGAAAACAGCTCCAATATAACCCCTGCCCCAGCGGTGGGCACGTATAGATATGCAGGAACGCGGTCCCACCGGGCTGCCCGTTATGGCCGT